AAGTTTCTCACTTGAAGGATATTTTTATAAAATCTTTCTGTACAAAAAAAATCTTTATGTACATTGTTCTCCTGATACCTAAATCTTGCCAAAGTACACGCGTGTGTGTGTGTACGTGTGTGTATACACATACAGATAGGTTTAAGCATTGGAGGGAGGCAGCGGCGGTAACTCCCTTATCCTGGGAAAAGGAGAGCAAGGCTCATAGTCACTTCTCAAATACCCGCTACTCAGAGTGTCTGTGGACCAGCAGCATGAGTATTACCCAAGAGCTTGTTAGATGTTCAGAATCATGGGCCCCACCCCAGACATGGTGAATCAGAATCTGTATTTTAAAATAACCCCTAGTGATCATGTGCACATTAAAGTTTGAGGAGCACTGCCATGTAAATGCAGATATGGACATGGGAAACTCAGCTTTAATATACAGATCTGCTTTTAAGGTAACATGACATGAAAGTTACTGTCTGGTTCAAGAAACATCTATGCTTTGTGCCCTTTAGCATTATAAGTTATTAACTGATGTTCGTGTTTCATATAATACGATATTTAGAACTGGTATTTGGAATCTTCAGTATGGGAGTATATAAACTGATCTTTGAGATCACTGATAAAAAGAGTAACCTGTCTTTTCTGCTTAGACACAGATACTGTCAAACATTTTCCTAGGAGAGGAAGAAAAATTACAGAAAAGCAAATAGCTATCTTAGACTTATAATAAATGGACTCAATTATTTTTCTGATTGATACTGAGTAAATGTGTTTCTGCTTTTAGTTTATTCAGGCTATTACCATCTGGACCAAAAATCAATGACTGGCATTGCTGTAGGCGTTGGCATAGCCTTGACCTGCATCCTCATCTGTGTTCTCATCTTGATATACCGAAGTAAAGCCAGGTGTGTTTCCGTGGCTAGACATGTTGAGGTGGTTAAAAAAAGATTTAAATTACAGTAACCACCAGAAGCAAATTGAAATCCATTGTCTTCTAGAGTAACTGGGATTTTCCACTTTCAAATAATGTTACTTGAGTTCTTTTTTTTAATTTTTTATTGTTATGTTAATCACCATACATTACATCATTAGTTTTTGATGTAGTGTTCCATGAATCATTGTTTGTGCATAACACCCAGTGCTCCACACAGAACGTGCCCTCTTTAATACCCATCACCAGGCTAACCCATCCCCCACCCCCTCCCCTCTAGAACCCTCAGTTTGTTTCTCAGAGTCCGTCGTCTCTTATGGATCGTTTCCCCCTCCGATTTTCCCCCCTTCATTCTTCCCCTCCTGCTATCTTCTTCTTCTTCTTCTTCTTTTTTTTTAACATGTATTGTATTATTTGTTTCAGAGGTACAGATCTGTGATTCAACAGTCTTGCACAATTCACAGCGCTCACCATAGCGCATACCCTCCCCAATGTCTATCACTCAGCCACCCCATCCCTCGCACCCCCCCACCACGCCAGCAACCCTCAGTTGTTACTTGAGTTCTTAATTGCTACAGAGATGTGCTCACTTTGGAAGGAGATTTTTTTTTTTTTTTTGCCATTTGAAAAAAGTTACTGTGCCAATAAAATGTTCTTAAATGAGGCCCTAGTTTCTTCATATCCTTTTTATTTTGAGCAGTACAAAGTATATCCTTTGGTTTCTTTTTTTAAAATGGCACACTTTGTCTGATGCATATGCTGATTGTGAGGAGATTCCTTACTGTCCGGAATACTTTCGTATCTAAGTAGCCTGCCATTGAGAGCTCCTCCCTTATTTCCATAGAACATATGTTTGGAATTCTCTAGACATGGCGTTAAAATAAATGTGATAACTAGGGATTTGTTCTCTGTAAACTCTCTTAGGCAATCTCATTTGTAGTTTGACTTTGGCTAAATTCTCAGCGTGCAGTAAGGTTGTCTATTTCTAACCTTTTATATTTTGGCTTTTGCTTTCATTTATTTTAAGGTTCTTTATTGTATTTAAAAAAATCAAAATCAGGTACACATTATTTTTGGATAATCCTTATCGCTAGGCTCACTCCATTAGCCTTGACTATCAGGATTTACTCTTTATGTATGGTGCTTGTGTATAAAAACATACTCAGAAAACATATTATGTTAGAGAAAGAATTCTAACATCTTTTTGTATATTTGATTAATGTAGTTTTGCTGTACAAGTTTCTCACTTGAAGAATATTTTTATAAAATCTTTCTGTACAAAAAAAATCTTTATGTACATTGTTCTCCTGATACCTAAATCTTGCCAAAGTGCTGCTGTAAATTTGCCATCATTAACTGGGAAGTGAATTGTTAGGTTAGTGTGACAATCAGGCAGACCTGAAAGAGAACATGTAAATTTTAAAATTATAATTTCTGCATAAATTTGAAGCAATCAACAGTAATAAATAATAGTACTTTGTAAATATTAAGGTTTTTATTAAGTGTAAAAAATAATTTTCTATAAGCAGATACTGGGGCAAAAAAAGAAGTTTCCTAAAATCATAAAAGTTTGCAGCAGTGAGTTTGAGGTAAAAATCTAACACTCAGGTCCTGAAGATACTTGAGAAATAAGCATTGAAGAACTCCACTGTTTGTGAAGTCATGATTATAGGCCACATTTGGTACATTCGTCCAGATCTCCTATGAAATTGGAAGATTTCCTTTTCTTGCAATATTTCAGGAAATCATCTGCTTCCAAGACAGCACAGAATGGAACTCCACAGTTATCTCGCACTAGTACCTCCCTAACCAGTGGGAATGAAGCCGGAAAGAACCTGGGAGGAGCCGTGGAAAATGAAGAATCCTTAATGCCAATGAGAATGCCAAACAGCTTCATTGACGCAAAGGTACTCTGAGCTGAGATACTAATTTGCTGTGTAATCCTTCCATCCGTTCATCTTCCCTTGATGTGTGAAACTGGCTTGCTAAAAAATCCTATGTTGGACGTATTATCTCCATATTCTACTTGATGAAATAGAAAACAGTTTCACCCAGATCCTTCCTTATGTAAAATATATGGGGAGAAGAATAATAACGATGGATAAAAGATAAAGGAATAAAAGATTAAAGAGATAGAGAAAATAAATGAGAAAACAGCATAAAATCAATTAGATGGGATTATGCGGAGCTAACATGTTTTAGATAAGGACACGAGGGCCATTAGTCTATATTTACTATAATTTGGATTGCCCTGTATTTACTTTGTGGGCAATTTTTTTATTAATCCATTTTTATACTTTGGTTGATTTTTTTTTAACTGCCTTGGACATTAGAACATTCCAGGTATCAACTACAGTTTTAAAAATATGGAGTATCTAAATAGATGTCTCAAGATCCTTCCCTTTATGGCTTGAGGAAGTGGGATATAATAAAGGAGTGTCATTGGAGGATTTTACTTCATGTCCTTTCCACTATATGTAATAATAGTACAGTGATAAGCATTAGGAAAACCAACTGAAAATTTTTAGTCACATTGCAACATTAGATAGTGTGCATTATTATAATAGCTCTCATAACCAATGCGGTATAAATCAGGTATCCATAAACTATAGCCCAGCCCAGGCTTGTCCACAGCCTGTTTTTGTATGAGCTAAGAATGTTTTTCACATTTTTAAAGGGTAGTTTGAAAAAAAAAAAAAGGAAGAGCAGAAAATGAGACAGAGGCCATATGAGGCCTGCAAAATCTAAAATATTTACTATCTGGCCCTTTACAGAGAAGGCTTAACAAATCCTGGTCTAGGGCGCCTGGGTGGCTCAGTTGGTTAAGCGACTGCCTTCAGCTCAGGTCATGATCCTGGAGTCCCGGGATTGAGTCCTGCATCGGGCTTCCTGCTCGGCAGGGAGTCGGCTTCTCCTCTGACCCTCTTCCCTCTCATGCTTTCTATCTCTCATTCTCTCTCTCTCTGAAATAAATAAAATCTTTTAAGAAAAAAAAAAATCCTGGTCTAAATTCTTCCCCAACCCTTTCCTAAAATTTAGAATAATAACAGAAATATAACAAAATTTCAGGCAGTTTTGATATTAATTTTTTTTAAAGACTTTATTTGTCAGAGAGAGAGAGGGAACACAAGCAGGGGGAGTGGGAG